ATTGAGCTTGTAATTGAGAAGAGAGCGAGAAAGAGAGCATAAATGGCAGTCAGTATGTTTCCAAACTTATTGGTTATTTCATAGAATATCTAAAATCATCAAACAGATCACAACAAATAAAAATGAAGATTAAATAAGAAAGAAATTGTCGCTTAAAGTAAATTTTGAAACTCTTGATAGAGATGAGAAGAAATTGACATAGATATAAAAGACTAGATGGGACATTGGCAGTGTTTTAGTGCATGCGACTGGCCGCCATGTTTGTGAGGGCGGGAATCTGCGGCGCTGTGTAAACACTACGGGAGGAGGGGGGTATTTGAGACTGATTTTGTGGTATTTTTCGACCGAAAAGTGCTAATCTTTTTTGCTCACGGCATTCTTTGGAATGTGTAGATTGTGGAACAAGTGCTGAAATATGCTTATCTATTGTAATTTGGCTACGTTAGCCTTAGACATGTTGCACTGTTGACGCTGATGAAGAATAGGCGGCACCAAAGGTAGATTTGCTTGGCATGCCTGTTTTAGATTTAATTCAGAGGGGTGTTCACGGGCACCGCACACTGCTGCGTGCGGTGTGTGCGGTGCGTCCAGCAGGCGTGGGGGTAGGGGATGGGTAGGCGGTTCTGACGTCACGGCTGCGTGCGGTGGACGGTCCGCTGTGGCCAGTCCCGACCGGCCACAGCGATCGCTGTGTGCGGTGACGGAAGGCTGACGTAGGGACGAAGTGGGCGGAGCTTCGAGGCTGTGTGCGGTCCGACCGCACACGCCCGTGAACAGCCCTCAGTTCCCATGCTTTTTTTTGTGCACACCACAATCCTTTAATTATTCTTGCATGGATAGAGCATCAGTCATATGATTTTTGACAGAAAGCTTAGCTAGATAGGTACCAGAACATTGGCAGCGGAAAGCAGACTCATTACCTACACTTGCTTTGCCTGCTCACTTTCTACTGTTGCCTTCAATGGACAATATTTATGAAGTAAGAAGGTTTTATGATTATAGGTTTTAAATAAGTACTTTACTTAATGTCATCAGTTAGTATTAAATAGTAGTTCAGTGCCAAACGAAAAATCCATGCACTATGCCAGATGCCTCGGGGGCTCTTATCCGCTCTGGGTTCAGAGTGCAGTGGCATACCACGCTCACCCTCAACCAGAGCTGATAGATAGTGAAAATGCCAGACGTCATGATATCTGCACCAGTGAACCGTGTCGCACATTTGATCCCAATAATGAACAGCACAGGGGTGACGTAAAAATGTGCGTTAGTTGGAGCACCTAAACTCAGATTGTCATTACCTAATTAGTTTTCACATTGTAAAGTGTAAACTACACTTCATGCTCTTTTGGCTCACCTGTTATCAGTATCAGTAAATAGGGTATTAGTAAATCTAGCGTTACCATCAATGCTAAGTGCTAACAAGTAAATATGAAGTCCAAGGAAGATAAAAATCATAATCTTACTTGACCTAACCTTACCTACTAACCTAACTAACCTACAACCTACAAACCTCAACCTACATACAACCTCCATACCTACGACCTACCCACCTACAACCTACCAACCTTTTATGTGCCGACGGTGGCACCAGATTTATGGATAGGTACCCTTATTTGTTAGGTACTTCACTCCACTTCTCATTTTATTTGAAGCTCATTTAAATTCTTGTATTTAAGTCTGTGTAAACTATTATTTTAAAAACCTGATGCTTTTCCATGACTGTAATCTCACTGTTTGCTATGTGTATTTTGTAGTGTGTACTGTGTGCAAATCCAGTATCCTACACTTGTATGCTACAGGCCTTGTTTTGATCTGACTTACTGTTAATATGTTTCAGCTTTAAAGACTAGTATCTTTTGAAATTGAAATTTGCCTCTCAGTCTCTCAAGAATCAAGATGCCAAATAGATGTGCAGGATTTGATTGCTGACAAACCAGGGATGAGGCTCAAGAGTCAAGAGATCACCCTGCATTGGCAAGTAAAAGCTACAGACTCTTGATTTTTTATATTGTTACAGGTTATCTGTCACCGAGAGCGATTGCTGTAGTTCAATTTCTTGCATCAAAATTGGCAGAATATGACTTCACTGATCACTCTGACGTCATTTACGGCCGACCTATGGTAGCTACACAATTTTTATTTCTATAAAATGTTTCAGATTGATGCAGCCGAAGGTACTGCAAGTTTCGTATTGACACGTCTAGTGGTTTAGAAATATTGCAACAAATATATATTTTAATTTTTTTTCAATATATAAATGTAAATATTTTATTGCAGAAAACAGGAGAGGGGCTCTGTAGAGCCCCACCCTCCAGTCATGCGTGGGTAAAGGCCCATCAGTCACTAAAACCAGAATAAGTGCAAAAAAATTATTACCAAATGCCCGGAGACTGCTTTACCATTGCCAACATGTGTGTGTGTGTGTGTGTGTGCGTGTGTGTGTGCGTGTGCGTGTGCGTCAACAATGTGTTAACAACAAATACAACACAATTGTGCCTGGCGTATGTTAACACTAAACACTATTAGCCATATTTTATTGATACTAATCGAACCTTCCAGGTGGCTGGAACAACCCCAGTGCCGCACAGTTCTGCGGGATATTCCGGCACCTGCTCCACCGCTGCGGCGTCCGGCCCGGCAGCACAGGGAAAGTGGCAGCCCTCGACCCGACCAGCATCCTGGCAGTCGGTCACACGACCAGCGGACGGGGAGCCAGCCTTACTACCTCGGCCTCCACCACCTCAGACAACGGTGCCACGGCACTCCACATCATCACGGAGCACGACTTCCAGCCTGGGCTGTCGTCTGGTGGGCAACATCGTCACCTACATCGCAGGGTTCGTGGTGAAGAAGGCGCTCGACTCTGTCAGCTGTAGCACCTGTCAGGAGGCCCTGGTGAGCGACATCCAGCCGGATGACATGACACAGCTTTACCACCTCTTCATCATCTCTGCCAGATGAGCTAAGGTGGGGACGGGTTACATGCCTGGGATCTGACTGAGACCCGCTCATACCCTGCCGAAGTGTTGGTGATTTCAGCGGTCAGCTGTCTCTAGCCGGTGTCAGTGAGTGGCGGCCAGCTGCCGCTGGAGTGGGTATCTACCGTCGATAGCTGTTGTGTGGCGGATAGCGTGGATTTGGATGGACACTTCATATTAATGAACAGATCAATGTCTGGCCGATAAAAGACGTATTTTGTCGATGATTGCTTAGTGACTGAGTGGGTCCACTGGCGACCAATGCAGTGGGCGCTGGGTTAACGCCTCGCCTCTTGTGACCGTGTCAATATGTAGCACTGTTAATTGCCGATTCGTTGCCGGCCGTCTCTGCTCCGTGGCTGGCTGATCCGGCACAAACTGGTGTTCGTGGCTGAAGGCGCGGCTACAGTTACATAGCTCGCCACGTGCCTGTGCGACTATCGTCGGTGCTGTCTGCAAGGGCGATGTTGGTGCCTGTAGGGGGCGCGGATTGATTCAAAGTGAGGAATGGGTCATCGGAGCTCGGGTCAGGTCATGTTCGGCTAAAATAAGCGGATTTTGCGATTTGCCGCATCCGGGTGAATTTCCTTGCCTTCTAGTGCATGTTTATGCATTTTACATGCGTTTTTTTAGTGTTGATGTCTAGATAACGTGCATTTGCCTCGAGGTCAAGGCTGCGCTTCATATGGGCAGTTTTCGGAGCATCTTGCTCATTTTATTCGTAATTCTTAATTGTTTGCGGATTTGTGCCCGCAAATCATTTTTTAAAGTAAGATTGACACGGGATTCGAGATCGGCGCCAATAAATACACTTCACATGACCCGCCATGTGTCAAGGCCATCCGAGGTCATCTAAGGTCGCTGACCTTGTATGACCTTATGTGACCCGGTTCGCTAGATTTCGAGATGAGGTTGATTGGGAATGATGTAACCCATTTCGCCGACAGTTCACGCGTTTTGGTCGATTTTATAGCGAAAGATCTCAAACTCCAGTGACTTTTCTGGTTCGATTTCCAGTGTTTGACCTGACCTCTGAGTTCACCCGTTGACCTAGTACCCTGAAATTTGGTATCACTGGTTTACTAACATCGCGGACAGCATACCTATTTTTTTCCGTTCTTGCTCCGTCGAGGGGCGAACGGCTGGAGTTCACTCCGTTCACCCTGGCTTCCCCTACTCGTAAGACGCTGACAAACTACGAACGGGTGAGGGCTAAAATTGCACTTATTGTCGATCATTGTCCATTGCATACTGCATACATAGATATAAAGTATGGTTGCCATAACGGGAAACGAATTTTATCTTAAATTAGCATGCCAATTGCATCTACCTTCGGTGCCGCATATCCTTTATCAGCGTCTTCAGGGCTATATGTCTAGGGCTGATGTAATTACATTACTATAAATACACATGTTTCTGCCCTTGTTTCACAATCTACTCATTCCAAAGAATGCCATAGGTAAAAAAGATTAACACTTTTCGGTCGAAAAATACCACAAAATCTGTCCCAAACACCCCCCTCCTCCCATAGTGTTTACACAGCGCCGCAGATTCTCGCCCTCACCAACATGGCGGCCGCTGCTACGTATTCGCGAGTCGCTCCCGACATGGGGGTGCCCTATCTAGTCTTTATATCTATTACCGGGGTTACATGAGCAAGTAAATGCGTATCAGGAACGGATTTTCCTATTCGCTCACCATTGTAGTCCGTTTGTAATACGTATTAACTCTGCTCATGTAACCCCGAGCTATGGAAATTGATGTCTAAATGGATTTTCAAGTACCTTGTATTTATCGACATTTCAGGAAAATATGCAACATATTTTCAGTAAATAGCCTTTAAAATATCATTCTGTATCTTTCTAATCCATAACAAATTAACTTTATTTCGCTTAAAATATCCCCCTCGCTAAAATGTCAAATTTCAAGCAGCAGTATGCAATATGAGTGCCTTTCGATGAGAAAATAGTACTACTATTTTGGGACATAATCAACGCTCTAGTTTCATTTCCGACGCAGAGTTTTTCGTCTTTTTCTTTTGGTGTCCTACAGTCTTCCGGAAAGTTAACTTTAGCCTTTAGCATTTGCTATTGAAGTTATACAGCCTGCTTATTTTATTTTTTGGGTTTTCATCTTTGTCGTCAAGAATTAGATAGCTTCAACATCTCTAAAATGGCCAGCTCAGTCTTCCGATCACTGGTATGTAGAAATGCATTTGAATTGTTTCAGTATGACAATGACCCACCTGTTTCTAGTTGGAATAATATTGAGGTAATTTGATGTTCCTATGCCCCCACTTTCGGAGGTGGGAGCCGGCGATGTCAACTACCCTTCACTCCACTTTTTGTTGAGCCTTTGCATCTGTCTATGCCACCAGGGCGGTGTTTCATGGCTGCGCGCTGCTCATGCTGACTGCGGTATTGGTGCGGTGTTTGAGATAAATTCTGCTCGACCCCTCAGCGTTGCGAGCATTTTACTTTGTTGATGTTTCCATGGAAATCCAACATGCCACTTTATGCTGCCAGATGAAGCATGTAGCTTTGAAACACCACCCAGGTCCAACTGGATCAGATAAATGCTTTGAAAAAAAAAAAAATCATAAAATGCTTTGCCAAATATATCTGGCTTAGTGACGGCTTGGTTGTGGTGCCCAAAATTTTAGCGCTTGTGGTGTAACTTCACATGCTTCAAATTCAGCATGTGAAGCATGTGTGAAATTGTAGTAAAGCACATAACAATAACGGTTTTCAGTTTCTATCTTAGAGGAAAGGCAAGCAACCTCTGGAACATTTGGTGTCACCGGTAAGGTTTTCGTCAGTGGCGTAGCCAGAGATCAGCGAAAGGGGGGGCCATGGTGCTCGAGGGGGCGACTTTTTCCCTTGAGAGGGGCGCCATTGTCAGCTAGTGACAGGGGGTCAGTCTAAAATGTAACGTCATATATTCATGCATGATTTACTAGGTGTTGCAAAATACATAAGAACCAGCCTTTGCTGATTTTCATAAAATTCATTAATGCAATTTGCAGCCTGGTGTTTTTTTTTATCAAAAAACCTTGATCTAGATGAATTTTTAGCATGATAGGTATAGGAAACGACCTCAGGCTACGGACGCATTATTCTCAAAATACGCATCCAGGCGAATTCGAAACGGTAAAATAACTATACGTTGATCAATAGGCAGAATCTTTATTCTTTGGAAAAAAAGAAAAATATACGGGCTCACTCACTGATCCGAAGTGACCTGTGGGCTGCAGCCTGTGGTCGACCGGGGTTGCCGTGTTTAGAATCTCAGAGCGCACGTATGTAGGATACACGCTGCGACTTATTGCCTAAATTGGAATCAAGGAAAGACTTGAACATTTAAGACCATGAGATCCACCATGAGATCCCAACTCATTGCCATACCAGCAGCGACTGCAGTCAGAGGCGACCGAACGCTGACATACGTTCAGGATTTTTTCTCCACACATCACCTTTACAATTTGATGTCTAGTGCGTGCAGCCCCTACTTGTGGACATGCATGACTGCCTCCAGTGACTGACTGCCTCTAGCCTCCAGAGGGAAACAACTAAAAAAATAACAGTTTTTATCAAAATCGTTTTCTGCAATACCTTTTGACTCAAGACAGTGACGACATTTATTTTGCCAGCATCGTATTCCTCTCGTCGAAACGCGTTGAATGAACTATACGTTGACCTTGAAAGGTCATTTTCAAAATTTGACCTCAGGTCAAGGTCATGATCTTGACGGACAGGGTCATGCTGCATATCACTCGATCCGTATCGTCGAGCTGAACACATCTGACGTGTTTTCACCGCTTTAGCACGTCTCTATCAAAAGGTATAGCCAAAGAAATGCTGGTGACCGTTCATGACCTGAGATGACCTCAGGGGCACACAGAAGGGTCACAGGTGCATTTTGTCGATTCAGTGTGTTATGTTTACCTATGAACCGATGTTTGAGAGGGTTTTGAACCACATTCGTCCAAAAGAGGCGCATTTCAATTTTCTCCAGTTGACTTATGCCTAATGGAGAAGTCGCAAAATTGACCTGACCTTAGGTAATGGATATCAAAAGTCCGAGATAAACATTGTATATATATTGTTAGTCTTATCAATCTCTGAAAGTTTCAAAAGTGATCGTTCCGTCGGTGTGGCGTACGCTGGGGCGGCACCGCACTGCTAGGCGGGGGCGGCATCACAATAATGGGCGGCAATGCGCTGGGGGGCACCACTTGCATTGAGGGGTGGCATTGTACGGTGAAAGGGTGGCGTCGCATTGAGGGGCGGTATCGCAACGAGGGGTGGCACTAACGAGGCTGCCTTATAAGAAACGCTTGGCACATCCTAGCCCAGCTCGGCGCCGCCTGGCTGCTGCATCTTGAAAAGGGTCCTTGGTGTCGATGAGACAGCCCCATTGTCAAATAATTTACCTAGCGTCAGTGGTTTCGGGGGGGGGGGGGGCGCTATCGATCTTGAATGGGGCGGGGCGACTGAAGTCTCCATTCAGATGGGCGTCAGTGACTACTGGAGGGCGCCAACGAACTCGGATAGGGCGAATGTGATCTTCAGAAGGGCACCGGGTGATCTAGAGGGGTGTAATGCTTAGATGGGGTCACTGCTGCCTTCAGTAGGGCATCGGACGCTCTGAAGGGGCGCCATTGATCTCGGATGATTGGACTGTTATTTTCAGAGGGGCACCAGTGGCTTCAGAGGGGCGCCATTGATTCAGGATGGGGCGACTGAAGTCCCGGTTCAGGTGGGCGCCAGTGGCTCTTGAGGGGCGCCAGCGACCTTGGATTGATGGGGCGACTGTGATCTTTAGAAGGGCGTTGAGGGGCGCCATTGGGCATGGATGGGGCCGCTGTTGCTTTCAGAAGGACGCCGGACGCTCTAGAGGGGCGCCTTGAACTTGGGTGGGAGGACTGTAGTCTCAAGGGGCGTTGTCTCGGATAGGGCGAATATGATTTTCAGAGGGGCGCCGGGTACTCTAGAAGGGCGCCATTGGTTTCAGAGGGTTGCCATCGATCTTAAGATGGGGCAGCTGTGATCTCCGTTTAGATGGGCGCCAGTGACTTTTGAGGGGCGCCAGCGACCTTGAATGAGGACGACTGTGATCTTCAGAAGCGCACCGGACGCTCTGGAGGGGCGTCATTGGGCTTGAATGGGGCGACTTTAGTCTCAAGCGGGACGACTTCAGTCTCAAGGGGGGCGCTAGCGGCTCTCTTGAGGGCGCTATTGATCTCGGATAGGGTGACTGTGATCTTGAGAAGAATGCGGGTGCTTTAGAGGGGCGTCAGTGGTTTCAGGGGGCGCCATCGACCTGGGATGGGGCCGAATGGGGCAGCTGTGAACTTCAGACGGGTGCAATCAACCTTAAATGGGGCGACTGTTCCGTTCAGGTGGGTGCCAGCGGCTTTCAGGGGCGCCATCGACCCTGGGGGTTCGGAATACCTATTCTGGTTTCCGGAGGGGCGCCCTTAAACATTGGGGGGTTCAGGTCCTATTTGGGGATGCCCTGGAGAACATTGGGGTGTCCAGGCACCCCTAAAGAGATATTGAGTTCGATCCCTGCCTGCACATCGCTTTTTAATTCATGTTCCCTCTGTAAAACGGCATCAGCCTAGTCGGCGCTAATTGGGGCGCCATCTGGGCGGCTGGGCGGAAAGGGGGGGCATGGCCCCCATGCCCCCCCCCCCCTGTCTACGCCACTGGTTTTCGTTCAAAGTTAGGTTTCCTGTCTTAGGCCGCCGTGCCAAGCTGAAGCATGCTGTGATGTCACTGGGTAAGAGAAGATAACTTACCACGCTATCAGTATCAACTGAGACTCACATAGACTCAGATCGACTCAGGCAGACTCAAACTGATTCGACCGACTCAGATCGACTCAGTCAGACTCAGAATGACTCAAATTGACTCAGACCGACTCAACCGACTTAAATCGATTTCGATGGACTCGGACAGACTCAGAACGACTCAGACAAACTCAAACTGACTCGACCGGCTCAAACCGATTCAGATCGAATCAGACCGACTCAAACTAAGACCGACTCAACCGACTCAAACCGATTCCGATCGACTCAGTTCAGACAGACACAGAACGACTCAGACAGACTCAGAATGACTCAGACAGACTCAGGCAGACTCAGACCGATTCAGATCGACTCAGACCGACTCAGATAAACTCAGAACGACTCAAACTGACTTAGAACGACTCAACCGACTAAAATCGTTCTGATCGACTCAGACAGACTCAGAACGACTCAGAGAGACTCAGGCAGACTCAAACCAACTCAGGCATACTCAAACCGACGCAGGCAGACTCAGACCGATTCAGATCGACTCAGACCGACTCAGCTAGACTCAGAACGACTCAAACTGACTCAGACCGAGTCAACCGACTCAAATTTATTCCGATCGACTCAGACAGACTCAGACAGACTCAGGCAGACTCATGCAGACTCAAACCGACTCAAACCGACTCGGCACACTCAAACTGACTCGACCGACTCAAACCGATTCAGGTCTGATGATTCAGGTCACCGCTGGGTCTGTCTGTCGGTCTAAATCGGTTTGAGTCGGTTGAGTCGGTTAGATTCTGTCTGAGTCTGAGTCGTTCTGAGTCTGTCTGAGTCTATCGGAATCGATTTGAGTCAGTTGATTCGGTCTGAGTCAGGTTGAGTCGTTCTGAGTCTAGCTGAGTCGGATTGAGGCGATATGAATCGGTTGGAGTCGGTCGAGTCAGTTTGAGTGTGCCTGCGTCGGTTTGAGTCTTCCTGAGTCGTTCCGAGTCTGTCTGAGTCGATCGGAATCGATTTGAGTCTATCTGAGTCGATCTGAATCGGTTTGAGTCGGTCAAGTCAGTGAGAGTCTGCCTGAGTCGGTTTGAGTCGTTCTGAGTCTGTCTGAGTCGATCGGAATCGATTTGAGTTAGTTGAGTCGGTCTGAGTCATTTTGAGTCGTTCTGAGTCTATCTGAGTCTGTCTGAGTCGACCTGAATCGGTTTGAGTTGGACGAGTCAGTTTGAGTCTGCCTGAGTCAGTTTGAATAGTTCTGAGTCTTACTGAGTCGATCGGAATCGATTTGAGTCGGTTGAGTCGGTCTGAGTCAGTTTGAGTCGTTCTGAGTCTATGAGTCGGCCTGAATCGATCTGAATCGGTCTGAGTCTGCCTGAGTCGGTTTGAGTCTGCCTGAATCGGTTTGAGTCGTTCTGAGTCTGTCTGAGTCGATCGGAATCGATTTGAGTCGATCGGAATCGATTTGAGTCGGTTGAGTCGGTCTGAGGTAGTTTAAGTCGGTCTGAGTCGATCTGAATCGGTTTGAGTCGGCCGAGTCACCTTGAGTTTGCCTGAGTCGGTTAGAGTCTGCCTGAGTCGTTTTGAGTCTATCCGAGTCGATAGAAATCGATTGAAGTCGGTTGAGTCGGTCTGAGTCAGTTTGAGTCGTTCTGAGTCGGTCGATACTGATAGGTAGCGTGGTACGTTATTATCTCTTACCCAGTGACGTCACAGCATGCTTCGGCTTGGCACGGCGGCCTAATACAGGAAACCTTAGCCTTGCACGAAAACACTACCGGTGACGCCAGAGTTACCGATACCGAACATTTTTGCCGGTCCTGTCCCTTAGTTGGTAGAGCTGCTGGACTGGAGTGGGTGAGAGCGTGCGTCCGGGTTATAACAGTTTGGGTTTGAAGCACGGCTGACGCTCAATGTTTATGAGCCTTAGCACCCGCCACCCTCACCTCAACCCTGGTCCCTGACCACCAAACCTTGACGTTTCTCCAGTTTATCTTTTAATGAATATTTACTGTTGTATTTATAGTGTTATTGAGTACAAATTTTCCTTGCTTAATGAAGGAAACCAAATCAGAAGCAAAACTGGCAGCCTTGTTGGGTAGTAGCATTTCGTTGAATGCACGGCAAGGCGTACACGAGCACTGAAAAGATAGACAATATTAGCATGGTTCAGCAGAAGCCAGAATACGTAAACAAACAATAAACGCTTGACTGGATCAGCTTGGGGTTGGCACGGCATGGTTCGACATACCCGTAGGCGTAGGAGCCGGGGGCCAGGGTGACCAATCATGCCCTCCTCCCATGCTGCAAAGTATGGCTCACAGTTCGATGAGGTGCACAGACCGGTCCAAGTGAAAACTACAAAAATAAAACTGAAAAAATACTTAAAACAAAACTACAGTGGCCCACGTGAAAACTACGTGAACTGGGCTATTGTCTGCAGTTTGAATGGTAGAAATCCATCGGTTACTTCCTGAGATATTGAGCATTCTCAACGGAGTTACTGAATTGTCAAATTTATCCCGAACACCGGCCTGTTCTTAGTAACATTGTAATGAGACCGATGAGACGTTGTGCGCTCATGCTCCAGGTGACCCCGCTGCGCCGCGGCGGACGGCGCCAGTTCTCCTCAGGCCGAAAAACTGTGACCCTCATCCCCGGCGATGGCATCGGCCCGGAGATCAGCGCCGCCGTCCAGAAGATATTCTCGGCTGCAGGAGTGAGTACAGGGATCTGATCGGCATTCATTGCTGTGTAAGACTGATTGTGATCAAACAGATGTATTGCAAACACATGTAATACTGTCGTGAAGCCCTGGGTATTACTTGTCTATCTTATATGCTACATTTGTCTAATGTGTATTCTTCTATACGTTTTCTCCTACATTCTGAAATGGACATGAAATAACAGCTGTAATACGTCTATCCAGATCACGAAATCTCGTCAGTTAGCAGTGTTTGTGTGCGGTGTTTCAGACCTTCCTCTCGCCCCGCCACCGCCGGTCTCCCCACTCACCCCGACCACTGTCTGACTGTCGCTGGCGCGTCTGCCAGGTGCCGATCGACTGGGAATCTGTGGACGTGACGCCCGTGCGCGGCCCGGACGGCATGTTCGGCATCCCCCAGTCGGCCATCGACTCGGTCAACAAAAACCAGATCGGCCTCAAGGGCCCGCTCATGACGCCCGTCGGCAAGGGTCACCGCTCGCTCAACCTGGCGCTCAGAAAGTGAGGAACGACAGACAGATAAAGCTTGCTGCTTACTTCGATAAGTTTCTGATTGCGGCTCATTATGAACTGATACATGTATACCACCTGCCAGCAATTTTTGTTTTTATTCTGCAGTCATGATTTGAGGTAAATTTATCGATCATTTTTCTGGATCAATTCACTTAATGTAGTCTGTGACCCTCAAATCGTATATATGTCACTCTACAGCTATCATCTTATACCTGTTCTTCCTCCTTCTACTCGCTCACGTTCTACTGTCAGTGTATCTCACCGTCCGCCTCTGTGTGTCGCCGGCAGGGAGTTTAACCTGTACGCCAACGTGCGGCCGTGCCGCTCCATCGACGGCTACGAGACGCTCTACAAGGACGTCGACCTGGTCACCATCCGTGAGAACACCGAGGGCGAGTACTCGGGCATCGAGCACGAGATCGTGCCCGGCGTGGTGCAGAGCATCAAACTCATCACGGAGCCGGCCTCGATGCGCGTGGCAGAGTTCGCCTTCAACTATGCCAAGGCCAACGGGCGCAGCAAGGTGACGGCCGTCCACAAGGCCAACATCATGTGAGTGGAGAGGGAGATGCAGGGGCTTGGATGCCGTGAAAGGGTGGGAGGGGTGCCGGGTGGTTTTGTAAGAGATAATACTGTCATTTGCACATCGGTAGATTTTGCATAAACCCAAGGTCCTTTCTATATTTTATGAAATGTTATTCGGATCATGAGTAAAACTTCTAAGAGATATTAAGACATCACACAAAAATCAGAAAAAAAAAATAAAGATCAGACATCCTTCTGAAATAACAGGTTATGGCTATAACATGTGATGTGAAACCCAACGACTAAAGATATTTTTTTGTAGCCTGTACTAGGGTTGGGGAGTCGTTTGATTTTCGGTGACTCCGACTCCGACCCCGGATTTCAAAAACCAACTCTGACTCCGAGTCCGGACAGAACTGTCGACTCCGACCGACCCCGACTCCGACTCCGCAGCCTGATCTGTACAGTCTGTCTTAAAGGTACCGCGCAAAGTAACGGTGGATCCATCAAGCCTGACCGAGGAAGGGCCTGCTATAATTTGAAAGTAACCGAACCAGTTGACCTGGGCAATGGGCGAGGATGTCAATGGGAGAGCACAGAGCAAAGCTTCGGTGACTCAAATTTAGCAGACCCTTCCTCGGTCAGGCTTGATGGATCCACCGTTACTTTACGCGGTACTTTTGAGACAGACTGTACGCTGTGTCTGAGAACCTCACGCCATCCCGTTAGCCATTGCGCTTCTCGAACATTTACTCTTCATTTCTATTTTCTCTCCGCGCCCTTCTAAGGGTAGCCATACGTTGCCATCCCACTAACGACGTGATAATCCATTTCCCATTCTTCTTTCCTTACAACTAACATTGCTCTAATGACCACGTCCCTCCCCTCAAACGTCTGTCGGACGGCACTATACCACGCTGACCACGTGACTTGTGCTCCCCCCCAGGCGTCTGTCGACGGCACGTTCCTCAACTGACCACGTGACCCTTGCTCCACCCCCAGGCGTCTGTCGGACGGCACGTTCCTCAACTGACCACGTGACCCTTGCTCCCCCCAGGCGTCTGTCGGACGGCACGTTCCCCCACTGACCACGTGACCCTTGCTCCCCCTCAGGCGTCTGTCGGACGGCACGTTCATCAACTGACCAGTGACCACGTGACCCTTGCTCCCCCCTCCAAGCGTCTGTCGGACGGCACTATACCCCACTGACCACGTGACCCGCGCTCCACCCCCAGGCGTCTGTCGGACGGCACTATACCCCACTGACCACGGACCCTTGCTCCCCCTAGGCGTCTGTCGGACGGCACTGACCACGTGACCTGTGCTCCCCTCAGGCGTCTGTCGGACGGCACGTTCCTCAACTGCTGCCGACTGGTGGCCGAGCGGAACCCGGACATCAAGTTCGAGGAGCGCTACCTGGACACGGTGTGCCTGAACATGGTGCAGGACCCGTCACAGTACGACGTGCTGGTCATGCCCAACCTGTACGGAGACATCCTCTCGGACCTGTGCGCTGGCCTGATCGGAGGACTGGGCGTCACACCCAGCGGCAACGTCGGAATCAACGGAGCCATCTTCGAGTCGGTGAGTGTTGGATAACCATCTTCTAGTCGGTGAGTGACGAAGAGTATTTTTCGAGTCGGTGAGTGCCGTGGACTCAGCGGAGCCATCTTCGATTCAGTGAGTACCGCGGACTCAACTGAAGCACCTCACGAACCTGAGTCAGTGAGTGCTGCAGAGCCAGCTTCGAGTCTGTAGGTGCCGCTACGGAGCCAACGGACCCATTTGCTGAGTCGGAGAGTCCCGCAGAGCCGTCTTCGAGTCAGTGAGCGTGGATCACTCAGCGGAGTCGTGTTCGAGTCAGTGAGTGCCGCGGACTCAGCGGAGCCAGTCAGTGAGTCGGTGAGTACCACGCAAAAATGTTTGAGTCGGTGAGTGCACCAGCCGACGCCTGTGCACGAAGGGCACCGAACTACGCAATATGTCTGCAAACATTACCGGAGAGCACGGGAGACTGGGAGGACCGTGCTTCTTTTTCGATTTTTTGCGTCTTTTTTTAGAAAGTAAAGAAGTGGGACGATAGCTTTGACTTTCACCCAAACAACCTGCGCACGGCACGCAAAACCAGAAAAAACAAGCAGTGGGTTTTACGCTGGCCGGCCTCCTGCGGGTCACGTCTCCGGTTCGGTTACTCGAGGGCAGCGCTTTTCGAGGAGCGCTGTGGCCCGAAGGTTTGGACTTTGAATTGTGAAAAACGCCCGCCCGCCGGAAAACGCAAACACCGCAAAACGCGCAAAACGCACGCCCGAAACGCCAACGCAAACGTCGCAAAAAATAAACAAACGCCCGCCCGCCGCAAACCGCAAATAAAAAACGCAAAAACGCCGCAAAACAATAAAACCGCCCGCCAACCGCAAACAAATTTAACACCGCAAACGACGCAAAAAAAAGAAGAAAACCGCCCGCATCGCCCGCCCGCCCGCCCGCCCGCCGCCAAAGACAAACACCGCAAAAAAAAAACACAAAACGCCCGCCCGCCGCAAAACGTAAACACCGCAAAACGTGTAAAACGCACGCCCGAAAAGCCAACGCAAACGGCAAAAAATCACCCGACCGCCGCAAACCACACAGAAAAAAACGCCGAAACGCCGAAAAAAATAAAACCGCCCGCACCGCACCGACGCTAACTGCTAACCGAAAACGACTAAAAGTCGCCCGCCAGCCGCCAAACGCAAACACCGCAAATAAGCGCCCGGCCGCAGCAAGATAATAATTTATCAGCGGCTGGCATACCGCTAGGCTGGTCATTTTCACAAATCAAAAAGATATCTGCAAAAATCTCCTAGATGAAAGCGCCCGATTAAAAAACGGATGGCACGTGCGTGTTCCTCGCCCCCAACTTCCTTCAGGTCAATCGTCATTTGGGTCATCTAACGCATTGACGTATCTGCAAAAATCTCCTAGATGAAAGCGCCCGAGTAAAAAACGGATGGCACGTGCGTGTTCCTCGCCCCCAACTTCCTTCAGGTCAATCTTCATTTGGGTCATCTAACGCATTGACGACCGGCTGGGTGGAATGAACATTGCGCCAAGAAACGTAAGTATATTGTCAAAAAGAATCCCCAGAGTGGTGGATCCCAAAAGTTTGAAACTACCACTTTGGCCCACTGGACGACACCTTAAACAGTTGCCGACCGGATGACACCCATTGTTTGGTCACCCACGCCATAGTATGCATCATGGGTGCGCCGAAATGACCAAAAGTCCCAATTTCCGGTGTGCAGGGTCATTTTCAACGGCACGTGGCACGTGGTTCTGGACTTTTCCGGCCACTTTGCGACATACCCATGGGTAGTGCACCGAATGGTGGTTGATCTGCATGTAAGAAAATGGGGGGTCGTTTTTTGATCGTTTTCGAGCAATCTGCCGTGGAACGCATTTTTTCATTTTCCCCATTGGCTTAACACGGGAATTTTTAAAGTCACGTGGCACGTGCACCAGATGGTCCGCGGAGGGGAGACCCATACCAGAACGTAGATCACCTGGCCCACTAGAAATCCTGAAAAAATCAGAATATTTGGACCAGCCGTTTTCAAGAGCATCAAGTTGTACTGATCTCAGGCAGCTTTTGCCAAATTGTCAGGGAACTCAGATTTGTTTTTCAATAGAAAAACACAATTCTAAAGAATAGTGTTTTAACTATTGACAACAAACCTTCGGTTACTGTAGATACACTGTAAGCCTGATAGTAGTTACAGTAAGACTCTCTGATGCACATCCCTGAGGATCATTCATTGACAAATCGTGTGATCCGCATGCTGTTAGGTCGATACAGCAATAAGAAACATAAAAGCTGAACATTCCTCTTACTCCTAATGCCACGTATGTTTGCCAATTGACTGAGCTGAAAGTCGATGGTAATCAGGCACTATAAAGACGGAAATAATGTGAGTAAAATTATCCGCTGTGTTTGCTGCCTCGACCGGTCCGGTTCTTTGCCAGTGCCACCCGGCACCGTATCCGGTTCCCCGCTCCTCCATAGGCACCCGACCTTGTTACGTTCCGGCCGACTACCGCTTTATTTCCTGACAAATTATCGCCATCCCGGTGAGCGTCTTTATTGAGTTTCCATTGTCAGCGGGCGTACGCCCCTGCAATTGATTGTCGCTCATTTGTCGGCGATTGTCCGGCGGCCGGCCGTGATGTGCTGCCACCTGTAGGTCGGTACGAGAAGCTGAAGTTTGTTGGCGGCGCCGCTGTAGCGCTGGCCGGCCGGCCGACCTCCATCCATTAGCCGGAATGATGTGTTTGGGTGTGTGTGAGACGGAGTGCTCACCGGCCGCCATTTAATGAGAGCCCGCCGCCGGCGGCTCCATTCGCGGATTAGCGCCGGCGCACGCGCGCCAGGGTGTACGCTCACCGGCACTGCACTTTGCTAATTAATTATTTCGGAGAAGCCGGCGCCGGTCGCCGGCCGGCGGCGCTCCTCTGTGGCGGGCCGGCGGGCCGCGGCGGGCCCTCCACCCGGCCCGGCACTATCACTCGGTCGGACGGAGCCCAATGAAAGTTGCAGCTGGCCGGCGGGCCGGCCGGCGGTGGGTGGCCGCCGGCCGTTTGACACAGCACTGCGATCAATAGGTTGGCCGGACCGTCCGACCGGACCGGGCCAGCCGCTCGGACCGACCACAGCCCGCGTGTAGGCCGGCCGGCGCAACCACCCTCATCCCGTCTGGCTCGGGTCACTGAATGGAGCATGCCCACAGACCAAATTCTGAACTAGTCACTGTCTAACTCGGTCCGGGCAGTCACACGGCTAAAGACATTATCCTAGAGCCTCACAGCGGATAATTCACTGATCGGGCCATTAGGTAGGGAACACAAGGTCAGCCACGAGCGGCTGTTCTGCCTTCGTCTCCGAGCGCGGTGTAATTCTCGGGCGGCGGCGGGCGTTCATTCAGCCCCGGCCGTGGCTCTGACGCGCCCCGCCGCCGCCCAAGACCGAGTGCCGACGGCGCCGCTGGGCGCAGATGCAGCCGATAGTCGGTAACGTATGGGATTCGGATGGCGCTGTTAGTCACTGCTCGGTCAAACAGCCGGCCAGCCGTGCTATCGGGGCAGGGAGGGGGCGCGGCGGACAAACTGAGACTGACCGATGCGGGCGGAGTCGATCGGAGGTGTCACAGAGGAACGCAGTGATCGGGGGGAAGAGGTTATGGGTCAATGGTCAAACATTGAAAAAAAACACATTTCAGGTGTTATAGACAGGATTATGTCCGGGAGCAAGTGATTTTCCCTTAGAACGTTCATTGTTTTGTTTCGTATTTTCATATGTATTTGATAATAACTTCAAAACGTCAACATTAACCCTATTCGTGGCGGGGGGGGGGGGGCTTTAAGCCCCCCCCCCCCTCGAGTTTTTCTTGTGCCATTGTCAAACGCCGCAAGACTGAAAGCTCATACTCGGTGACTTTTTCTAAACATTCATTGCGCACATTTTGACAAAAAAAAAAGTTGCCGGGTCAGGTCAGGTCAGGTCACCAGAGGCGGTTTGGTGACCCCACCTCAGAAAAGTTTGCAATCACGCCAGAGCTAGAGTTTTTGACCGATCAATTTCTTCTCTTCAGGTTTTAGTTAGGGTACCAGTATGTGCAATTTGTATATCTCAGAATTTTCATATCTGTGACCTGAGGTCAGGCTAGACTCGTGACCTTTACATTGCAAGCCTATGGGAAAATATTGAAACGCCTCCTGCTTCGTGTAAACGAGTCCAAACCACCCAATTCTTTCAGTATTATGGAAGATTATCTCATCGGTGATGATCCTGGTGCCGCTAATTGACAGGGGCACCGGCAAAGGTCATCTGAGGTCATGTGACGTCATAAATCGTTTTTTTCTGTCAATAAATCACGACATGATGGTGCTAAAGGCTTGTAAGTGGTACCAAACTGCTCGCCTGGTCAAGGCGCGTCGTTTGGTATGCAGCATGACCATTGACCATACCCCACAACCTCATTGATGAATGACCTGACCTTGACCTCAGGTCAAATTTCAAATTGACCTGTGAAGGGCACATAGGTATTTCGCCTCGCCTCGGCGAGAGCAACAAAAAATGTATTGGTTTTATGTCTATGTTTCTAGTTTAAAAGTTATATAGGTAACTAATTCCAAAACATTTTATCGTTGATGACCTCTGGTGACCTCAATATTGACCTGACCTGAAAATGTTTTATGTAAAAGTTGTAGATCTTTAAACGACCTATCAAACGCCGTTTGCCGTTTGTCGCTGCGATGTGTGGTTTTTGAGATCTGAAGGGGGGCCGAATCGCCCCCCCCGCCAGTTTCTTGTCCCGGCGGAGCCCGCCGAGCCCGCCAGGAATAGGGTTAAGCAACATATTTTAGGTGGCACTCGATTACATAAATGAAAAAGCTCAGTTCTATTCAAATTCATGCATATTGCTCGCTTTTTCAGGAAATTCGCCCAATATTTATGTTGTATAGTCTACTACAGAATAATGTTCCACTCCTCAGAAGCTATCAGTTGACCGGAGCGCTAAGTTGTGCCGTTTATCACGCAATTAAGCGTGTCGATTGTGAGCATTGGGACAAAGCTATAATTTGTGAACTCAGCCCGTGTGATGCGGCACAGCCTACCACTCCAGGCAAATAATTGTCTGTAGAAAGTGGAACATCATTCTGTAGTCGACTATACCTACATACCTACAAATAAGAAGCGAGTCAGAAAATATGTCTCCTTTTAGTACCCTGCCTTCAAGTTCCTCGCTTCCTTATATCCTTCTCAATCATTCAGCAACCTTTAAACGTAACTTTAAAGTCCCAATAAAAAGCCGAACTCTTCCCCACTCCTCTTCCTTGATCCTGAGTTTTGATGTTCGCCTATTTGGTTCGAAAGTTAACCTCCGAAGCGATGCTTACCGGTGCCTTTTGCCGTGCTTTCTTCAGTATATTACCCACCTTACATGACTTAAGCGTGATGTTTTGATATTTGTTGTTGGTTTTGTTGGGTTAGACTCTTGGTCTAACGATACCATTCAGAGCCGGAAGAATGATAGGAATTAGGGAAGACATTGGTCAGGCGGGCATCCTGGTGAGTCGCCGCGTCCGAGCCCGTCCAGTGGACAGGCCACCCAGCCCCCTGACACTCACCGCACCCGGATACGGGCTTGCTCCTGGGGGAGCTACCCGCATGGGATAAAGTTACTCGTCCAGCCCGGAACAGGGGGTAGAAATCTGGAGGAGAATAATTTGACTATTCTGAGTATGGAAACGACAAAACGGATGTGATGTTTTGTAGCGTTAGGCTTATGAGATGAGAACCAACATCAACTAAAGGTTGATGTTGACGCGCATTCTCCTAGCGCGTCAATAACTGAATCGGTGGATCCAGCTGTGGTATTTAGGGTCATTCCGTTCATTCGATATTGCTAGATTGATCTTGCTGTCCCCACTCCCCTTCCTCATGAGAAACGCTGCCGATATACACGTATGTTCTAGTATGTATATGGTGTCGCCCTCATCCCTACCTGCTTTCGGTGATGCTTTGCCGCTTCTCTTGTCATAAGGAACGGTTCGGTAGTTGATCCGTCGGCGTTTCTGAGTGGGGTGGCAGGGACTGACTACCATTTATCCACTTGGTAGGTATTCCAATGGTGGCCCGCTGTTCGCAAATCGTGGACTTGATCTGGCCTGTAAGACGATCACTGCCAGCAAACGATTTTCAGTGAATGTTTGCTGAGCTAAACCGTCAGTCTAGAGAAAATAAGTAATCAGAACCTGCATGCATACGTTTTATCTACCTAGGTTAGAGAAGTACGGTTTGACGGAGCTGAGCACGTCAAAGGCAATGTTTATGGTACTTCGTTGGTACTCCAAGAACCGCCCTTGTACAGGAAACCCGTAATTGTGATTTTGTTTTTTGCCTAAGATATTTGCAAAAAACAGCCTTTTGTTTTGTACGTGACCAGCTGAGAGGTTACCAGTTGCCCTGACACTTTAAAGATTTATACAGCGCGCTGCGTTTGGTGACGGCCAACACGTTTATTCTTTTTTGAAGTTCTAACTTCATGAAGAGCGAGTCTGTGACGGGTCGTATCCACATAGAAATGATGAAGGGATAACGAACGCTCTTTGTACCAGGAGACTGGATCCTTGCTCCTAACCTTTGGCCAGTTCTGTACCACAACCCGCTCCTTAGCCCACAGGAGCCTACCGTCTGTGCCGGGCATCTGACCCGCCCTGTCCCTCTGTGTGTTACAGGTGCACGGCACTGCGCCCGACATCGCCGGCCTGGACCTGGCCAACCCGACAGCGCTGCTGCTCTCCGCCGTCATGATGCTGCGGCACATGGAGCTCAACTCGTTCGGGGACCGCATCGAGACGGCGTGTCTGGACGTCATCCGCGAGGGCCGCCACCGGACCGGCGACCTCGGCGGCTCGGCCAAGTGTTCCGAGTTCACCGACGCCATCTGTGAGAAGCTGTAGGAGGCTGCGCCGTGCCGGTCGCCGCTAGGGCGCCGGCGCCGCCCGCTAGGCTGATTATTGGGTGCTGTTGTGCAATTTAGGGCGAGATGCGGTGGCGTGACGGCCGCGTAGGTCACGGACCGGTGGTGTGGTGGGCGACAGGACAGGATTGAGGATGGAGCTGTGTCTAGCTAGACGCTCGCTACACTATTTATTGCATCTCGCCGCCCGTTATGCCGCTCCCGTCTGTGTTTGTTTTGTTTCCGTTACTGGGGCTGGTAGGTGGCCGGTACTCGGGCCGGCGCCGGCAGCTCCGTCTGTCTGTCTGTCTGTGTGTGGGGCGTGTCCGCCGGCCCGGTGCGGCGGCGGCGGCGGCGGCGCGCCATGACTCTTCCTCGGGGCGCCGCCGCCGCCGCCCCCGCCCCCGCCCCCGCCCGCCGACGGAGGGGCGGCGGCCGGCGCGTGAACACGGTAATTGGTGTGTGCATCGATCCTGAGCGATGAAGAGTTCCGTCGGCGCCGGGCGGCGGGTACGGTCCGCCCGGCGGGCGAGCGGGCACGGTCGGGCACGGTCCGCCGGGCGAGCGGGCACGGTCGGCCCGGCGAGCGAGGCCGCGCCGTACCGGGGCACCGGCCGTCCTCCGGCACCTCACCAGTCTCCATGACTTGGAGCCCCTATACAGGCTTCTTTACGACTCTCTCTTTTCTTTCTACCTTACTTCTGTATTATTTATCTGATTTGTTTGCATCTAGACATCTGATTGCCGTTCCCTTTTTGAAATGCCTCAGGTCTGATGTTTCCGTTGTATTTGTCCATGCGTATTGTTTCTAGATTTGCCATATACTCATATCAGTTATTCTCTTTTGATCCACCCTCCCTCCAGCTTTTCCGTATGACATTTCTTGTCGTCATTTACCTCGTTACTTTTCATGCGATCGCCGATCTCGTCTCTCCGGCGTTTCCCGTCGCCGCCGCACATCTTGCCTGTATCCAGGCGCGTTTTTGTCCGCTGCCGATTATCATTTCTGGTGAGTGCCACTGCGCCATGTCCCAGACGGGCTGCTTTGGACCGTCTCTCGCCCTCTGTGTCTCTCGATCCCTCTCTCCCTCTTTTCCCTCTTCTTACACTCTCCTCTTTCTCCGTCTTTCTTCTTTTCTTGCCTCTATCAATCTCTGTCTCTTCTTTTTTCCTTCTCCTTTACGTCTATTTATCTATCTATTTATCTATCTATTTCTATCTATATCTATCTGTAGATCTACCTACCTACATATTTATCCCTCCCGCTGCTCTCTGGTCTCTCAGTTGTCGGTTTACCGGGGTCCGATTCCACCAGTCAGTATTGAGAGGATTGCGTGCCCCGCCCGTCAGTACTGAGAGGAGGGCGCCCCGCCCGTCAGTACTGAGAGGAGGGCGCCCCGCCCGTCAGTATTGAGAGGAGGGCGCCCCCGGTCGCGCGCCGATACCCCAGCTCGGAGAAGTGTGAGAGTGCGAGTGAGGCGAGTGGTGCGCCCCGCGCCGAGCCGCGCCGGGCTGTTCTGTGACTGCTGACTTCTGCAATACACGCCGCCGCAGATGTGTTAAGTGTGTGTGTGTGGGGGGGGGGGGGAGGAAAACAGGAGTGACCGGCATGGCAGCGATAGTTGAAGGGTTAGTGAATGAGAAACCATTGTTCTCCAGAGTTGATGACTACCTGGAGTTTCCAGACGAACTGTAGTTTTAGAGGATAATGCACTCCATGCACGCTCCATGGAGGGAGAGCTGGGACGGCCCAGCCCTAGGTTTGCCTTCTGAGTCTCTGCCCCCCCCCCCCCCGTGAACATTCCTTAGAGGAGGTCTTGACTCGGCTCCAGGACCAGGACCACGTAGCGACACGCGGTAAGCGGCAATCGAAAGAACGTCCAAAATAAGGACGAAAACACTTCGGTCATTTTTGGGGTCAGGTAAAGGTCAGGTCACCAAAGGTCACCAAAGATAAAATGTTGACTATTTCAACATTTTGGAAACTGTCGACGGCTATCTCGGTAACCGATAGAGCTACAGCGCCGCGGAAAAGCGCATTCGATAGCCCTTTTACAGACCTTTCTGAACAATGTTCTCAGATTTGACCTCAGGTCAACGGTTTAGCCTCCAGAGGGCAAAAACTAAAAAAAAAAATAGCCGTTTTTTTGCGAAAAACGTTTTTTTTCGGCAATAACTTTTGACTCAATAGAGCCATGACATTACTTTTGCCAGCATCGTGTTCCTCTCGTCGGGACGCGTCGAATGAACTATAATTTGACCTTGAAAGGTCAACTTGAAAATTTCGTCAGGTCAAGGTCATGTTGCATATCAGTCGATCCGCAACGTCAAGCCGAACACATCTAAGGCGTTTTCAGCGCTCTAGCACGCCTCTATCAGAAGTTATTAGCGAAAAGGTGTTAGATTCTGTTCGTGACCTGAGATGACCTCGGGGACAAAATGAGGGGCCACAGTTGCCATTTTCCGGTTCAGTGTGTCAATTTTACCTACATCATGATGTTTGAGAGTGTCTAGAATAGCGTTCGTGCAAAACAAACGCTTTTCAATTTTTTCCCCCATTGACTTAGGTACCTATCCTACCTAATATGGAGAGGCCGCAAAATTGACCTCACCTTAGGTCACCGATATCACAATTCCGAGATATACATTTTATAGATAATGTTGCTCTAATCAATGGCTGAAAATTTCAAGGTAATCGATCATTCCGTGTAGCTATGACGAGCATCTTTATTTTTTCTGAGGTGAGGTCACTTGGCGTGACCTGGTGACCTGACCTAAGGCGACCTGGGTCTTAAATTTTCACAACATGTGCGGAAAAGATGCACAAAGAGGTGTGCCAAAAACCGCAGGGGGGGGGGGGGGGTGCAAGAACTATCAAAATTGCAGAGCTGGGCGCGTTCCTCGATTTTCGGTAGTGCGTTAGCGTTCCTGCGTTCCTCCGGCCGCGGTTAGTGCGTTCCTGGAATAGCGTTCCTCAATTCTTTTCGCTCGGTGCGTTAGCGTTCCTGCGTTCCTGCGTCCCAAACTGTTAACCCGTATTGTATTCTGGCTCTACCAAGCACCAAATCATACCAAAATCAGTGCAACGCAACACTGTAGCGGACAAAGTAGGCAAATCGCGCCAGTCCAACACTACAGGCGTGTTCTTCACAACAGAAGTCGTGGACAAAGAAATACCGCCGAACCACGCGGCGCGGGCCCAACCAAACACGGGGCGAATCGATCACAGAATACCACTGAACTCTATAATGGAATACCCAGAATGGCGACGCGGGGCCGAAAAGCAACTCGACATCTCTTTTCCGAATCGAATATCTGAAATACGTTTTACCAATATCATCCGTAGGGTTTTCAACAAAAATACGACCTGCTTAAAAACAATAGTTAAGTTGAAAGATGTATCTAAGTAAAAGTTATCATATTTCCTTTACACATTTGATGCCTGAAACCGAATCGAATAGTGAACATCACCACTAAATCTAAACAAGCCTTCCTCGATTCGACCGACAAGTGGCGCCTCTACCGGCAAACACACGTACTCGAGATTCAAACATTTGACACAGAGGTCATTGGCAGCAATATGATTTTTGGGTGGTTCCGCAAGAACGCAGGAACGCTTCAAAATTTCGGGTGGTGCGTTCCTCTTACTTGCGTTCCTTTGAAAAACTTTGCGTTCCTGCGTTCTTGCGTTCCTAAAAAGGGCGGTGCGTACGTACGGAAGAACGCAGGAACGCACTAAAGGAACGCACTTGCCCAGCTCTGCAAAATTGATGTTTCGCGGAAAACGTTTTTTTTTGGCAATAAATTTTGACTTATAACTTGCACGACGTTTAGGTATGTTACTGGCATCGTGTTCATCTCGTCGAGACGCGTCGAATATGTTATAGTTTGACCTTAACCCGCGCATGACTGGGGTATTTTCCATCACGCGGATGACTGAGGGGGAGGGGGCCCCCTCCTATCTCCGAAACTGCTGCGCGATCGTCAAAATTCAAACGGCGTCTGATAGTCCTGGAAAAACTGTCGAGCGTAACCTATTTTCATTGACCTCAAGGTCACTGATGACGTCACAGGTCGGTTCAAAGTAAAAATTATCAGCATTTTTGCTTGTTCACAATTAGGCTCTGACCGCCGGCTGACAAGTTCGATCAGGCTCATTTTTGGTTCACGCACTCCTTGATATATGCCTTAGATACCCTGAGGGTACTAAACTTTTACTTCGAATTTTTCAGGTCAAGGTCAGGTCATCCTAGGTCACCAAAATTGTGTACCTACCTATCATCTATCGGTCACGTGACGCATGTTTGATGGTCCATTTTACTTGCAGATTTCAAAGACAATGTCGTCTGTGTCATTTGAGGTCATTTTCTGCTGAATTTATCGGAGGTCAGGTCACTTTCAGGTAAAAAAGGACAAATTTTGAAAATGAATGTTTTCAACAAATAAAAAGTGCCTATCAGATGCGCCCGGTTTGAGCTCAGCAACACGATTTATATTACTTTACTATGTCAAAACTCAAAACGTACTGAAAATGGTTTTGAAAAATATATACCTAATTGTAAAATTTTGACAATAATGCAAATTTTTGGCTATTTTTGAAGATACTGGGCTCAAACTTGTTAGAGTAGGTAATCAGGATGTGTTCTATCACATATTTTCCGGCTTTTGCTAAAAATAAAAGTTTTCTGAAAAATCAAAAAACATGTTTCTTGTAATTGTTAACCCTCGCCGGCCAAGGGGGGGCGGGTGCCGCCCCCCCCATAGGGTTTTTTTCGCGATAGCTCCGAACACGCTGGCGATAGAGAGCTGAAACTTGGCATACCTGACCTTTGATCCAAGCCGGATCTTTTGACACCAACCGCATTTTTGGGTCAGGTCAGGTCACTGACCTATGACGTCACAAGTGAACCTCTGCACGGTCTTCAGATGTCGCAACTTCGCAACGCCCTCACTGCCAGAGGAGATGTCACAGGGAAATGAAACTTGCAGGATCTAGTATCCTTTATGAGTCCCACAACTTGTATATCTCGGATTTTTCCTAAAGGTCATATGAGGTCAGGTCATTTTCGTGACCTCACCATTATAAGTCAATGGGAAAAAATTCAAACTGCTATTCTGGCCCGGGAACGATCTCCAACTATCTCAAGCACACAGAATCGTGATTTGATGCACTCCTTGCAAGGTTAGATGCGTCACTTTTGCAATGTTGACCTTTCGTGACGTCATTTATGACGTCATCAAGGTCATATTAGTTTTTCGTCAATAACTCTTGATCAAATTGAGCTAGCGAGTCGGGAAAGCCACCAATGGACTCAGGATGGCCTGCCGAATCGAATGATATGCGACATGACCTCTTTCGACCAACTTCGTGACCTGGGGGTGCTGACCTGACCTTGACCTGAGGTCAACACCCCAAGTTGACCTGACCCGGACAAAAAGTATATCATTCGACGCGCCTGAGCGAGGCGAACACGATGCTGCCAAAATCGGCGCTCTGCGGCCGTTTTTTGCGAAGTTATTCGCCAAAAACTGAACCGTACCTTGGGGCACTTGACCTGACCTCAGAGGTCACCGGTTGACCTAGAACCTTAAAATCGGGTACCAATCTCTGCGTCTCGTAACGGCGCACACGCTCGTTTTTTCCGCGACGCGCTAGCTCCACCAGGGGCGAAACGGCGAGGGGGGGGGGGGGTCGTACCCGCCCCCCCCCCCTCAGCCGGCGCGTATGTAGAAAACCAATAGGTCCGGCGAGGGTTAATACACATCTTTCTAATTTTCCAAATTTCGAAAATTCGAGATAGCAGTTTGATAGCTACGTATGGCTACGTGTACCTAGGGGAGAGTGGGGTGGGTTGTATCAGTTTTTACTCCGAGACCCATAACCTCGTTACTATCCGTGATAAACTCATTATTTCCATACTATCCCCTTCCTCGATTCTTCTGCTTTTTTGTGCAAAGTAACTTTTCCGCTACCTCTACCAGTTTTTCTTTTACGGTCTGCCGAATAGAACAATGTTTTTGATACAACTTGCCCCATGGCTTGGGTGAGTTGTATCACATGGTGGGGTAATTTGTATCACTATTTCACGTTTCAGGGAGTGTGCTTGCTACTGGTTTTGAACATAACAACAACATTAGGTAAATGGGGTTAATACAATGTATATGCTCAAAGGCTTCACTTTTATTACACCAAACTTGATCAATGCAATCCGAACGAAACATCAACAGACTAGACGCAAAAGTGGCCCGTTAAGAGCAAAGAAGCCAACACATTGTGCCGAAATGGAATGAGTATTGACTAGCTACCTACAAACGCGAGCTAGGGCTTAGCTTTCGCGATCAAAAGCAACATACCCATACCTACATGCATACATACATGTTACAACATACCCCACCCGGCTCTGATACAACATGTACATCGCCGCCATCTTGGAAAAAACATCCTCGTGCTCAAAAACAGCGGACAGCTGGAAAAATCCATTTTCACTCACGCAGCCTTAGAATCTACCCTCACCACCGCTACGGAGATCTTTCAAATTCGTGCACATCTAAATGCCCA